CGCGCCCGCCCGGGACGTCGTGGAGCTGCCGGTTTTTTTTCGCTGCCACTTCTCTTCGCCTGGGCCGCAGCAGTGAACTTTCGCGCCATTGCCGTCGGACTCCTACCGAATCACCCGGAGCAGCATCTGCCACTCCAGCGGGACTGTAATATGGATCTATTTGGACTTTTTTTTCTTTCCTGTTTCCCAAGTCAGGTATTCTGACTCTGTCGGGTTCGGGGATTATTTGTTTCTTGTTGTTCTTTCCCCTGTATCATTACCCCTCGTAGTTTACAATTTCTCAGTAAAGAACTGGTATTCCTATCCCCATATCTTTGTCTGAAAGCCCCATCATTTCAAAGGTATAGTAATTCGGAGGTGTGGGGGAGGGGTTTACAATCCCGGTTTCAAGGGAGGCTTTTCCCCTGTCTTCTAAACCACGACACCTTCCCTCCTTCTTCGTTGACCTTCATGTCTTCACATATTCTCACTCCTCTATCTTTCTCTCTGCAAGTTGCTGTGAGGCAGTAGTATTTTTCCCACTTCTTAAATATGTTATCACAGGTGTGTTGCCATCACTCATAGGCTCAGCCTTGGCCAGCAATAGGTCCATCTTTGGAGCTGACTGGCATTAGCTTTATAGGACCTAGGAAAAGCTTCTAGCAATTCCTCATAGAAGCCACTCCTACAGCACCCCTGCTGCCAAAACTTGGTCACACAAAACCCATACAGACTGCTAATGCAAATCCAGACTTTGAAAAGGACATTTATGTGTGGTTAGCTGCTCTTTTTGGATAGCAAAAAGAGGTCTGACCTTTCAGCAGTTGATATCAGACAGAGTGAGAAGACAGGGGGAGCAGCACAGCTACAACTCTGTGGTTCAGATGTTGGGGGAGGGTTTTCTTGCCTTGATGATCTTTGAGTTCCAACCACAGTGAGGGTCCCAGTAGGCACAGTAGTAAGTAGCAGCATCATCTGGAATTACATCTTTTATTGTAAGAACACACCGGTTCTGACCAGAAACTTTTTCAACCATGTACCTGTTTTGTTGAAAACCGCTTTCAACTGAAGCTTTCCCTCCGGAAAAGAACAGTAGCCTTTCTGGAGCTTTACCCTCTTTCTGTTGATACCAGTGTATGACAGTGTTGTCAAAATTTGCCTCTAACGTTTGAATTTCACATGTCATCCGTGCACTTTTTTGGAACTTGGTGATGGATACAGGGCTTTGCACAGGGATTTCTAGTGAAAATCCGCCTAGAAAAAGAAGAGAGGAGGAGAAATTATATCATTATCTGGAATTCAGGGATTTGGGCAGGTGCCTGTTAGCACAGCCATGGGTGCCTGTGAGGAATTGTAAGAAAACAAGGAGAACTTACACGACCAAGTGGCTGTAGCCATGAGTGCTGCCAGCAGCAGCATGTTTGCTTGTCACACTCTGCTGTCATTGAGACTCTGAGGAAAGTGAAAGGAACCTCAGATGGGGACAGTGTTGTGTGGGAAGAGGAGGTGACGTTGTTGAGTGATCTTCAGTGACAGGTCTTCTGTGTGCAAGCAGATGGGGCACATTTTCAGAAAACCTGCCTCAGGCTGCCAAATGCTAAAACTGGTTAGAAGGTTGTAGTCCCTTCTGCTTTTCAGTTAAATACAAGAAACATTGGTAAATCCTAGGATTGTGGCCTTTGAAAACTTGAGCCAGAGCCACTGAGGAAGAGTTGTGAGTGAGAGCAGCTCCAGCTGTGCATTGTGGTGTGAAGCTTTCAGTCTGGAGGTCCCACCACTCAGTGGTCAGTCTATGCCGTTACGCAGAGGGGTGAGGAGAGGTGCACAGTGCATGAGCTGGGAGAGTTAGGCTTGCTCAGCACGGAAAAGAGAAGGCTTCAGGGACACCTTATAGCGGCCTTCCAGTACCTGAAGGGGGCCTACTAGAAGGCTGGGGAGAGACTTTTTACAAGGACCTGTAGTGATAGGATGAGGGCTAATGGGTGGAAGCTGCAGGAGTGTAGGTTTAGACTAGATATACGGAAGAAGTTCTTTAGCCTGCGGGCGGTGAGGCACTGGTACAGGTTGCCCAGGGAAGCTGTGGATGCTCCATCCCTGGAGGCATTCAAGGCCAGGTGACATAGAGCCTTGAGCATCCTGATGTAGTGGGAGATCTCCCTGCCATGGCAGGGAGGTTAGATCTTGGAGGTTCCTTCCAACCAAAATCATGCTATAATTCCATGATTCTATGAGCTGGGGATAAGTATTCCCCTATCCTGTTAGGGGGCTTCTTCTACTGCTTCAGCCAAAGTGCCTGGGGAGCCCTGGTGCTGGTAGTGTCCTCCACTGAAGCAGCCAGAGGCCATCAATCCGCAGCAGCCAGGTTAGCTGTGCCTTGGGGACACGCCTCCACTTTGGTTTTGTGTGCACGAGGAAATGCACAGACACAGGTTGGTTTTGAAACTCAGCTGAGAAGCAAACATTTCTTGGAAAGGAAGACTGGAAAAGAAAAGTGAGCCCAGTGACAGTTGCTGTCAACAGCCATCGCAGAGGGGCATCTCAGTGAGCGGGACTGGTGCAGCAGGGTGCTCCCCCATGACCGATGAACTCAGGCTGCAGCTTGTCAGGCATGAGGGACATGAGCTGCCTCAGCTTCCTTCCTGCTGGCAGTTGGCCATGTGCAGCAAGCCAGTGGCAAGAACATGATGGTACTTGATTTGAAAAGGTGCCAGATGCCCATGAGTGCAGGGCTGCAGGGAGAGGTAGGCAAGGAGAGACACCTGACTCTGTGTGGTTGCAATGGAAAGGGTCCTTTTCCCAACAGATAATGATGGGAAAGCCTGTTTAATCTTCTGTCAGGCCACCTTGAGGGGGAAGACAAGGAGAATGACTTAAGGACTCGCAGGCACAACAAAGTGATGAGGAAGAGGGAACTATGAAGAAGGCTTTAAAGTTAAGGAAGGGAGTTGCAAGGAAAGGGTCACCCATTCCAGCAGCATCCCATGATAGTCTCCTTGTGTGGACAACTTTAGTAAATCAGAGTGAAAACTGCATTGGCAATTGTATACTAGGACCTGAAATCACGCTCTTGTTTCCAAAACCTACCAGGACATGTATAAAACAGTAGAAATATGTTGCCATTCTTCTCATCACACAGCAGAAATCTGATCCTGGATGAAGAGTAATGGAAGACAGAAGAGACTGTGTCTCACACGATTAAATGTCTAAATTACAGACACTGTCTAGGCTTTCTATGGTAGCTTTCTAGCGGTCAGTCTCCTGGTAGAAATAATTACAGATCAGACCTCATGGTGTCTATGCCAAAAGGACACATGCAGTGATAGATTTTTTTTTAACAAAATACCTTTCCAGATTCGAATTATCAACAAGTAGAATTGTCACTAATCAAATGGCCAACATCACTTTGCAGAGAGCTTCATTACTTAAAGCTATCCAAACAGGTTCCCCTTTGTAAATCCATGCTCACTGCTCCTGATTACCTTTTACACCTTCATGCATCTGTAAATGATTTGCAGGATTAGTTGCTCCATCACCTTTCCAGGGACTGAGATGAGGCTAACCGTCTGTAGTGCCTCAGATTTCCTTTCCTGCCTTTCTTGAAAATAAGAGTGACATTAGCTTTCTTCTAGTCTTCAGGAATCTCTACTTATTGCTGTTGACTTTCAAAGATAAGCGAAAGTGGCTTTGCAAAGGCATTGGCCAGCTACCTCGGCATTTGAGTTTACATCCCCTCAGATGTCATGGACATTTGTACATTCACTGTAAGTGCTCACTAGCCTGATCCTCCTCTACCAAGGGTACGTCTTCCTTGCTCCAGGCACCACCTCTGGTCTCAGAAGCCCAGAATTCCTGAACTCTTACAAGTGAATACTGAGGTGAAGAATTGAGTACCTTGGCTTTTTCCTTGTCATTTATCATGTTTCCCTGCCGCATTCAGCAGCTTTCCCGAGGCTTTTTTTAGCTGCTGATGTACTTGTACAACCTTTTTGTGTTTCCCTTTACATCCTGTGTCAAATCCATCTCGGCTATTCTTTCCTAAATCCATCCCTGCTATTCTTTCCTAAATCCATCCCTTCATGCTTCAACAGCAGATACATACTCCTCTTGGGTCACCTGCCCCTGTTTCCACCTCTTGAACACTTCATTGGTATGCCCAAGTTCAGTAATATTTGATAATTCATTAAGGCCTCCTGCGGCCTCTGTCAGGCTGGATTTTTCTGGAGCTTGGAGGAAATTCTTGAACACAAACCAGCTCACTTGGACACCTCTTCTCCCTAGAGCTGTATCTGATGGGGTTCTTCTGAGCAGATCTCTGAATGAATTAGTCTCTGCTCTCCTGAAGTCCAGGGCTGTGATCCTTCTTTTTGTTCTGATCTCCCAGGAGCTGAACTCCACCAGCTCGTGGTCACTGCAGCCAAGTCTGTCCCTCACCTTCACATTCCTATCCAGTTCTCCTTAGCTTGTGAGTAGAAGGTCTAGCAGATCACCCTTCCTTGGATGCTCAATCACCTGTGTCAGGGAGTTGCCATCAACTCACTCTAGAAAACTTCTAGACTGATTGTGAAGAATTCTCACATGCCACAATGTGAAGACAGAAGGCAAGCTGACTGAGGTTAATACCTGGGTTCACACGTACTGCAATCTGTTTGTCAAATAATTCAGGAGGCCACAATATCTTTAACAGGGTATTGTATATTCAGCTTGTACCAAAAGGCATATCAAAACAATGTCCAGAACCTATGGAACTGTAAAAACACCACTCTGGAGGTGTTTGTGCTTGTTTCTGAAGGTCTGGATGTGTTAGAGGAATATCTCACAAGATATCGAGTATGTGCGCTCTATCCTAGTTCAAGAACTTGAAGGCACAGAACTTAGCTGTCAGGCAAACACCAGCTTTGCTAGAACCACTCTTTGATCATAGAACCTGATTTGTAAAACCCAGTACACTTAACGCAAAGGGCCTGAGAGTCTGCTTGCCAGGGGTGTAGCCTGTGTCTGAGGATTTCAGTTCCGTCTTGTACACATCAGGTGAGAAACAGTGACAACACAGTTAGGTTTTCTGGGCTGTTGTAGGAACTTGTAGCAAGTGAAATGCAAAAGAAGGGGAAATAAAAAGATGAAGGAGAATGGACAAGATCACCTGCTCTTCTCTCCTTCTTTTACACTCGGGTCTTTTTTTCAAGAGAATACTTGGATATATATGTCTCTGCTTGATCCAGGGATTCTAATGGAGAAGCCTATATGTTAAGAGCAATGTTCCATATTTTTACCCTAAAGTGCCTGGAACTTTCCGGTTTCTGGATGTTACAAATATATGTAAGTACTGAAATGATATACTGATTGTTAACATCAAATATTTGGCAATTGTCACAAGATACTGTTGTTTTTTCCTACCTTGCTGCAGAAAATCATGAAAGAGGGGTAGAATAAGGAAGTGTCTAAATTTTTAGCAGAGCTCAGTGCTTGCAGTTCAAGAGCACAAAGCTGTTTTTTTTGTGCAGCTTCCTTTTGCTTGTGTAATGCTGTGGATCGCTCGTAATACCAGTATGCGCAATAGTATGTGCCAGAATCACTCGGCGTTAAAAGCTGTATTGTGAGACCGTAGAGGGGCTCAGAAGCATGTTTCTGAACTTGAATTCTCCGACTATAACTGGTGTCATCAAACACAGGTGACTGTCCGCTCAGGTACAGCATTCTTTCCGGTGGCTGTCCAGGAATATGTTTGTACCAGTGCACGGTACCTTCACTGCGCATTCGGCATGTCATTGTGGCAGAGCTGCCTGTCACCTGCCTCTGCACCTTTGGATTCTGCACTGGCGTTGCCTGTGTGTCTCCCCCTGGAAAGGGAAACAAAGAAATTGCATGATAGGAAGAAGCAACTGGAGTTTGGAGCAAGGACTGTCTTCTCTGTGCACAGGGAGGAGAAGGCAGAGCTTAAAAAATGTCTTACGGGACCAAAATGAAATTGCAAGAAGTACTGGAAGAAACCACATGTTGCCTGTGTGGGTTAAACCCGGAATGAAATAAAATGGACAGAAATGCTGTGAAGCCCTTCAAGTGTAGAAAGCATCAAACGACTGGGAGGAGAAAAAGACTCATTTGACACATCCAGTGGTCGTTCTTCAGCTTGTTACCATTGAGGGGGCTAAATTTACTGACGAGCTAAACCACAGCAGTAACAGTGTAGAAAGGACCTAAAATACTCATTGTGAAACATTTTTTATTCATCTCTCTACCTATTTACCTATCTTACTACATTCCTCTCAGACTTACCTGCTTGAATATACACACACATATAAAAACTCAAGTTGTTCAATCCTTCGCTTCCCAAGGCTGTTCTCCTCTCCTCTGACACCCCAAAACTGTCCTAGAAGCACATTTCACCAGCCTCTTCTGGACCATAGTGCCAGCTTTGATAG